AGGAAGACAAACAACCCAATTAAGAAATGGGCAAAGGACTTGAATAGACACTTCTCCAAAGAGGACATACGGATGGCCAAGAGACACATGAGAAAATGCTCAACGTCACTAATCATCAACGAGGTACAAATTAAAACCACAATGAGGTATCACCTCACACCTGTCAGAATGGCTCCATCAACAAATCAACAAACGACATGTGCTGGGGAGGGTGTGGAGAAAGGGGAACCTGGTGCACTGCTGGGGGGAATGCAGACTGGGGCAGCCACTGTGGAAAACAGTATGGAGGTTCCTCAAAAAATTAAAAATGGAGCTGCCTTTTGACCCAGTGATGCCACTTCTGGAAATACACTTGAAGAATCCCGAAACGTTAACTGGAAAGAATACATGCTCTCCTATGTTCATTGCAGAGTTATTTACAGCAGCCAAGATTTAGAAGCAGCCCAAGTGCCCATCAGTAGATGAGTGGATAAAAAAGCTGTGGTATTTATACAATGGAATACTACTCAGCTATAAAAAAGAAAATTAAATAAAATTTTAAAAATATGAGAATATTCTGCTGAACATAGTGTGGGGAATGCTGGTAGCTTCTTTGAAATATCATTATAATATAATTCCATTTACTGGGGAGCACGATGGGAAATAGTTTGCAAGTAGGCAAAAAAGAAAAGCATCGTATGGTTTAAAAGACTCATACTCCAGATGATTCTAACATGTAGCCAAGACTGAGAGTCACTGAAAATTTTCTGTCTCCTCAATTGCTACTACTATTTACCTAAAATATCCTCAACAGAGTTGGGTACTTTTACCACTGTAGCATATTAAAAATTCCCTTCTAACTTCTTGTTTGTCAATAGTGATTTAGTTCCACTTTGATGTTTTAAAAATGCTAATATTGCCCAGCCGGGCGTGACTCAGTGGTCGAGCATCGACCTGGGATGCAGGAGATCGGGGTTTGATTCCCAGTCAGGGCACACGCCTGGGCTGTGGGCAGCCGATCAATGACTCTCTCATCACTGATGTTTCTATCTCTATCTCTCCCTCTCCCTTCCTCTCTCTGAAACCAATACAGACATATTTTTTAAAATTCTAATATTTATTGAATACTGAGGATGTAGTAGGCCTGGGGATAAGCTCTCTGCTACTGTACTGCTTTTTGTTTCGTTTTGCTTACTGAATAGTCAGACTCTAAATAATTTTTCTACAAAGAGAGACCCTGTATTTTCTAGAATCAACATTGTCTTCTAACTTGTGATTAATATATATTACATTTTATTCCATTTCTCTGGTTAGAAACCCAAGACAGGGAAAGAGAGGGGGAGAAGCAGGGGGATGGGGGATCTTCAGAAAAAATATTCTGATCTGGTTTAAACACATTACACTCAGTACTTGATTCTCTGTGAATCTTGGCTGAGGTTCTTTGGAAATGGACAAAGATTCAGTAATTCCAAGAGGAAAATTCCAAGAATACATATGACTCCATTTTAAGGCAGCTGATTTTCCTTTTGCTCTTGATTAATGCATTTCTTCCATTTAAAAAAAAAAAAAAGCCACTAACCTTTCCCCCCGAAAGTAACTTCCTTTGGAACAAATTCTAATACCAATAGGAACAATGATATGAGTTTCAGGTAAAGGGGTTTCAGCTGAGGGACCCTAAAAGCAGATACAAGCGTTCGGTTATTTTCCCCTGCATCGCAGCCCTGGCTCGCGCTTCCTTTCCAGGCCTGCGCTCACTCTCCACAGGATGGTGCTGTTTTGTGCAGCTAAACAACCCTCCTCCCGTGGACCATATTTTCACAATTACTGCTAACAGTGTTTCCTACAGCGTTAGTTCCTGAAATGCCATCTGTTCCAAGCTTCACGAGATCTGAGAGCAACCAGGAGTTATAACTTTAACCCTGTGGTGTAGAAAGGTGTTCAGTAAATGAAACTTAATGTTAACTAGATGAGTGAATTTTGCACAGGTGTTAACCTGCTTCACTGAAGCCAGTGCCATGGGGACTGCGGCTCAAACAACTGGCAGGAAGGAAGGCAAGCACTGTCACACCACCTTCCTTGGCCGTCTAAGATTTCTTCATTATTCCAGTGTTCTTTTCTCTACTTTTACACCCGTTTGACAAGAACTCAATTTGCCCTTATGAAGCCTAATGGTCCATCTCCTTCCTCACCTCTTTTCCTTCTTAAAATGGGCAATGCAGCTATTCTGATCCCACCATGAATCTCAGAATTTGTTATAACAAAAACATGACTATGGGAAGTATCAGTTAATGGAGTGGGGTCCATGTAAACTCTATGATATATGTTCTCCAAAAAAGGCATTCCTGGGCAGTTGTTCAAGGCTGGTAAGCTTTTTATGGGAAAGGACCTGCTGGGCAAAGTGACGGGTGAGAAGGCACTACAGTGAGGTCAGAGCCCAGCCTGGGCGAACCCTGCTGGCTGCGCCTCTCTGCCGTCCGTTTCCTCCCCTCAAGCGAGGAGGTGGCACTGAGCGATCTGCAGGCCCTCCTAGTTGTGACACAGTTGCATCTCTATGTTTTTCTTCATACTACGGCTCAATCATTATGTAAATACTTAAGGGCCCAGCAGGGGACTCTACATAGAGGCACACCTGGTTCTATTGCTCTTCGCTTTATTGTGTTTTTTACAAATGGAAGGCAAGGCTCTCCACCAGCAGCAGGACTACAACTCGCTTTATTGCAATATTCGAGCATCGAGGCCTTGCCTTCCCTTTCTAAAAAAATCCACGATATCTGGAAGACCAATAAAGCGAACAGCAATAAAATCGGGTATGTCTGCAGGATCTAAACAAAGCTGACCCAACCTATTCCCCTGTTGGAAATGAGCAAGCACCAGCTTGGCTCAGTTGACACCCACTAACCACCTGAGTCAACATAATTGAAAAAGGCTGGCTCAGGTAGGTCCAGGTCCTGGTGCTGCACAGACCTTCACCCAGTGAGAGCAGCAGACATTAACTTGGTGACACCAGAATGAGGAGCAACAATTCAGAAGTCATAAAAACACACCACCGTCAATCAAAATCATGATCTGTTCAACTAACTTAGTTCTGAGCTGGGCTTTGGCTATTGAAATAATTTAGAGGAACTAATAAATACGCAACCCACACCTGCTTACAACCATAAAGGGAGTTTTAAAATCCATTTTCAATACGAAGAGATAATTTATCTATGCCTTATTCCCAAACAATAATATCCAAACACTGAGCAAAAGAGACAGTTATCTATTTACCTATCGGCGACCAACAGTGGAGCTTTAGTGCTTTCAAGAGCCAGGCCATTTTTACCCTTATTTGAAACAGCTAACCCAAGACTTCTGTTATCAGGAGCAATCTGCTGCCAGGGTCTACTTGAATTCCAAGCACCTGCCTCCTCTGGTCTGGAGGCAGATGGTACATCATAAAAATAAAAGTCAAGGGGAATATGCACAGAAAGATATTCCCTTTAAAGCCCTTTAGGAGGAGGCTCTTTTTCTAAAATTCAATACTGTAAATATACATGTTTATGTTACTATCTTAGCTCAGAATTTGGGAACTGAAGCAGGGGCATTAAAAAAGTTTCCTTAGCCTGATTCATATGCATGTGTGCTCCCATATTTCCATAGGATGGGAAAACAGCCTTTACTTTAGCTTATTAGCACCTAAGGCAGGACGGTTTGTTACTGGAATTCTCACAAGTATCCGGAACAGCAATAGCTGTTGTTCCAACTTACAACCTAACCGCAGCTCCATCGAGCTCTCACAGTAACCAAGACGCTGCTCAATGGGTGTCTCAGTCAGAGAGAGCTGCTGTAACAAAGCGCCACAGGCTGGGTGGCTTAAGCAACAGGAATTTATTTCTCACAGTCCTGGAGGCTGGGAAGTCCACGATCAAAGTGCCAGGCAATTCAGTCCCCCTCTAAGTGCCCTCTCCCTGGCTTGCAGATGGTCGCCTTCTCGCTGTGTCCTTACATGTACAGAGAGGGAGCCTCTGGTCCCTTCCTCTTCTCATAAGAACACAAATTCCAACACGGGGGCCCCACCTCACGATCTCATCTAAACCTAATTACCTCACAAAGGCCCCACCTCCAAATAGCATCACATTATGGGGGTTAAGATCTGGGCTTCAGCACATGAGTTTTGGAGAAACACAACATCCCGTCCACAAGCATGGGATAACCTCATACATATGTTTATAGGGCTTGTATAACTAAGCTAAGCTATAATAAGTTGGCCTCATAATATGCTTTTCCATAATAATTATGTAGGGTGGCGCTTCTCAAACTTCAGCTGCACCAGAATCCCCTGCAGCTTGGTAAAACCAATTTCTTGGCCTGACCCCCAGAGATTCTGGTTTAGCAGGCCTGGGGTGGAGCCTAAGCAATTGCCTTTCTCACAAGCTCCCAGATGATGCTGATGTGTTCTGCCTGAGGACTGCACTTCGAAAACCACTGGGGTAGGAGTTCCCTTTAGAATGCCAATATCAGTTATGATTCTTTGGGCCTGTATTGGCTTCTCAGTAAACACCAATTTTATGCTGAACACATCTGAAATGTCTCATTTGCTTATACTCAGATGTTGCAGTTACGTACAGAGATGCTTAGCAAGCAGACGGACAGATGTGCTGAAGTGAGCTGCTCTGTGCTGGGAGCACCCGGGAGATCCAGCAATGCAGCATGTCTGACTAGCTGATGTGTGGCTTCACAAGCCACCAGGTTTTACAAGGATGTCCGCTGACATCTTATCCTTACTAACGTTTATCTTAGAATGTAGATTTAGGCTTTAAAGTTGTTGGAATCAGCTCTTACCTCTACAAGCACGCTGCAAGAGATTGAACTGATACCAAATTTTGACAAAGCTTAATATGAAGCACTTGAGCAATGCTTAGTATTTCCATCCAACTCATTTGTCCTATAATCACACTTGGTTAAATTTTAAAGCAAGGCTCTGTCATGAGACAGCATAATTTTAAGATTTACTTCAAGTACACTTTGGAATGTAAACATACCTTGTTTAGCTTTACAAAATATTCCAGTCCAGCTTCCAAGGGATTTGTATCACAGTTCATCTAAAAGGGAAACACACGGTTTAAATCTTAGACAAGTGAAAATAATTTCAGTGACTTTCAAGTCTTTTTTTTTTTTTTTTTTTAGAAAAGAGAATACTTTTTGATTTTGAATATAGATTGTGAAAAAGGAAAATTATGGGCTGGTCTTTAAAGAGATTTTTTTTAAATCTAAAATTCAAATGTAGCCTTTCAGTTATCATTTCAACAGCAAAGCAAAACCTAACATTCACAGTTTGTTTCCATGAGTTTTATTATAATAAATATCCGAGGGTCACCACCACATGATGCTCCTCCCAGAAACAAGACTCTCATATATTTTTATGTAATGATTTAGCATAATTAGGTTTTGAGAAATTATGACTTAATTTACTTATCTCACAGTTAGCCGGGAATCAGGATAAATAGAGGAGAAAGCAGGTGGTAGGAAAATGACTCCTACAGAGTTTAGGAAAAGAGACAAGGGAAAAACAGAGGTTGAAGCTCAATC